GGCCGTCTTCCTCTTGATGGGATCCACCGCCTGCAGGTCTGCTCCTGGAGACACCGGGATGCAGAGAGCGTCACCGCGCCGCCCCACCCCAGAGCACGGGGCAAGCAGCAATGCCATCCCTTCCCCCCAAAATCCCGGGAAGTCCCTGGGGAGACGCTCACCAGCCAGGAGCAGGGCGGCCACGCAGTCCTGCCGCCCCTGCACCGCAGCCTTCATCAGCGCCGTCAGGCCCCGGGGGTCTCGCTTGTCCACCTCGAGCGCGGGGTAGTAGTTGAGGAGGTAGTTGACGATGGTGACATGTCCTTAACAGCCAGAGAGAAGCTGCGTTAGAGTTTCGACAGTTAACGAGTGATAACTGCTGATGCCTGCTGGAGAAAGTATTTAGCAACTGCATCTCATGAGGACCAAGATGCAGAAACTTGGAGGGATCAGGGCTGAAAGGGTTTGGGCTTATTTTGTTTTGGGTTTGGCCGTGCAGGGAACAGCGCTGGCACACCAGCTGCTTCCGCGGAGAATGCAGGAAAGAGTCCAAAAATGCAAAAAAAAAAAATCATCATCAATTCCAGCAAGGGTGAAGTGGGAATCAGGGGTGATCTGCACTTTGAGACCCTCCTGCTTTCCCCCGTGGTTAATCAGGGCAGAGGGAGCCAGACTCTTCTGCAGTAACGAGGAAAACCATCATGACCGGACATTTGGTCCCTCCGTGTGGCATTTGCCAGCTCGGACCTTGTGTGCTGGTAAATCACTGCAGCTCACGGGGCTTTTCTGGAGCACGTGGGGTGGCTCCGGCTCAGCGCGGCTGCTCGGGCGGGACGTGTTGCAAGACAACGTTGCCGTAGGAATCTCCATTTGTGCATCATCTACCCAGTTTTAAAATGGTGCTAAGGTGAGCCATAAACTTCGATGGGGAGGGTCACGTCCCTCGCGACTCGCCTTTCCCAGCTCATTTTCAGGTGTTTGGAGGGGAAGCGCAGGGGGTCACATCACTTCTCGAGGGGTCTCGCGGGGGCTGAGCGCGGTGCCTACCTGCCGGGGCTGCCATCATGAGGGCCGTGTTCCCGTCCTTGTCCTGCTGGTTGACATTTATGTAGGGGCACTTCTGCAGCAGGGGCACGATGTCCACGAAGCCCTTGTAGCAGGCCACCATCAGCCCGTTCTGGAGAGGGCGCAGGACTCAGCACCGGGGCCGGCACTGCACCATCCTCCCCACCACAGTGCTCCCCACGAGCCCCCCC